ACCAACGGGGGGCGGGGGGCGGGCTCCTTAGAAATCTCCTTGGGGCTTTTCTATTCTCCCCTTTACGGCCTCTCAGACAGAGTATGAGTTCTAATCAACTCAACAGCATACAACATTTCCAAACAAGGTCAAGCTCATGGGCATCAGCACTTGGGTCTTCAAATAGATCTTTTTGGGAAACACATTTTTAATCCGTTACGTGGGACTCCTCCTCATGGCAAGGCCGTGAGCTCCAGCCTTTGTCTCTGGACCCCTGCGACTCCACACAGCTTCCCAGCCACTTGTGTCTGCATTGGAAATCCCCTCCAGGGGGCTGGATGGATTCACCACCTCCTGGCTTCCTTTCCCTGCAGATGTTGGCTCGGCTCACCCAACTGCTTCCTCCTACTCCTGGTGGAGATTCGAAGAAGGCTGGCTTGCAGGAGAGGCCGGCCTTCCATTGTTGCAATGGCCACACCTTCCCTTCAGTTTCTGCCAGGAAATTCCTCAGTGGCCCTTTCTGTTCTTTGATGTTTCCAGGAAGTGTTTGTGAGTGCTTTATCCCTGGGCTCCCAGCTTTTCTTCCTGCTCTGCCAGCACTCTCTCCCTTTAGCTCGGCAAAGATAAAAGGTGTTGCGGGCAACACTCCAGGGAAAGACCATCCCACCCTTAATTCTTTACCGCCGATTAGTTGATCAGCCTCCTGGCATGTGAAAAGTGGACAGAGAAGAAGGACGACCACAGAAGAATCCGTGCCTTTGAATGGCGGCGCTAGAGAAGAATGTTGAAAGTACCACAATCTGCCAAAAGGACACACCGATCTGTCTCGGAACATGTACGGCCAGAGTGCTCCTTAGAGGCAAGGATGGCAAGACTTTGTCTCACATCCTGTGGACTCGTTGTCAGGAGAGACGGGTCCCTGGAGAAGGGCATCGTGCTTGATAAAGTCGAGGGACAATGAAAAAGAGGAAGGCCCTCAAGGAGATGGACGGACACCGTGGCTGCACCCATGGGCTCAGGCATGGGAACCATGGTGAGGGTGGGGCAGGACGTGACAGTGTTTCATTCTTTTGTGCATGGGGAAGGGACTCGATGGCACACAATGGCAACAACCATGCTCTCTCCGGTGGGGCCTCGTCTGTTGTTTAAGCACACATTGGTCTGTTTATCTCCATAAATACGTTTCATTCCACCAGTGCTGTGTGGGGAGTTCCTTTGCTCCCCCACGGGTGCAGGCGACTTTGCTATGGGTCACCTTTTGTCCGTGTGTACACCTTCCAGCTTAACGCCTCTGTTCTGATGGCCCAAAGGGGACTGGTGAGATGGGTTGTCTCTGGGGATGCGGGTCCACCGGCGTGGGGAGGGTGGCATGGTGTTGAAGCTTTTGGCTTGTGGACTGTACGGCGTGGCACCCTATTCTATACCCCTCTACGTCTACCTCAATACCAGGGACTTTGAGCCAATCCTGACTGCTGTTACATAATCTCATGTCAACTTGAAGGCCTACAAAAGTGTAGGGGGGAGTCTAGCCTGTCAATCAGGTCACAGCCTGAAGGCACCTCCTTGTGGGCGTGGCCTTCTCATCAGGAGGACCCTGGGACCCTCCTTGGGACCCTCCCTCTCTCTCTGCCTTCACCTTCCTGCTGGCAGACCCTGATTGCTGCCAGACCCCTAGCGCTACATCCACCACCATTGGATCCACTCGACTTTGCACCCACCAGCCTGTGGTCTTCCTGCATTCTGCATCATTGCATGCGGCTGTGTGAGTCTGAAGAGGCACTTGTGGACTAGTATCGGACTTCGGCCTTGAATTGGACTGGGCTGGAATGATTTCTTGATCTATAATTACTTCTTGATACAGTGCTCTTTCTTACCTATGGATGAGTGTCACTGGAATTGTGTCTCTAGTTAACCCCGGCCTCACGGCAAGACCACGTGTGTCAGAACACATGTGTGCACACCGGTAGGTAACATCTTGATGAATGGAGATAAGTTTGGACATGTTGTCAGGAGAGACCAGTCCCTGGAGAAGGGCATCATTCTTGGTCAAGAGAGGAAGGTCCTTAAAAGATGGATTGGCAGAGACTGCAACCATGGGTTCAGGCACAGGAACCATGGTGAGGACAGACAGGGCGTCCTTCTGTTGTGCAGAGGGTTGCTACTGGTCAGAACTGACCTGCCGGCACTTCACCACCACCACCACCACCACCACCACCACCGGGTTTACAATGGAAGGTGATCAAGTCTTTGCTCTCAGTACTTCTGGGTGGACCCACCCTTGGAGCTGTTTGGGTAGCAGCCGTGCATGTTCACCCTTGCCCATGAGCACTGGTGGAACAGAAATACCACACGCTGATTTATTTTCTCAGTTAGGACACTAGGCATCCAGCCTCAGGGTGACCCTTCTGAGGGCAGGCCCTCTCTGCTGCCCCTCAGGGAAAATTTTTGTCTCTGTCAATATCTGCTCTCCCTCATCTCCAGGGTCCCCTGTATGTGGCATCTGCCTCTGCCCCTCTGGGATGCCTCTGTGTCCTACTCGCTTAGCAGTGATGTGATGCAGGAGACCCAGTAACTTGATGAGGCCTTGTGAGCCTAAGAGAGAAGCCTCCACTCCCCTTCCCAAACGGGTGTCCATCCATCCCCAGAGGGATCGGGTTAATCTGCACAATTCCCACCCACTGGATCTTCAGAAAACATTTGCAGCTCCCACCCCACCTCCTCTTGACATGCCGGCCAGGGCATCCGGCTGCTGCCTATTGTAAAGGGCCACTTGATAATCACAGGTCTGTTCCCGGAAACAACCCGTTCTCTGGCTGCCAAGGCCCAAACCCTAGGGCCCACCTTTGCCTCCTTGCCAGCCCCCACCCTCCAATCCTTCAGTAAGGGTTAGAGCTCCACCTTCAGAATGCAACCTCGGGGGTCCATCTCTCGGAAGTGCACACCTCACCAGAGGGAGGCACCTCTTGGCTTCCAGACTGGGCCGAAGTACTTTACTCCCAGGAAGCCAGGGTGAGCTTTGGGAATTATTAAGAAATTAGTGGTTTACACTCGAACACCACTAAAGGGCCAGGCATTGTTCCTAAGTGCTTTCCACGTGTTTGGTCAATTCGTCCTCACAATAACCCAGGACGGAAAGGCTGTTGTCCTCCTTCGGCCAGGACGGAAGCCGGAAGGGGCAGGGACTGGCTGGAAGAGGCGGCATTCCCAGCTTGCCACCGTCTTTGGATCCCAATTCCTGGAGCCCAGGGCTTCCAGTAGGATCGGGGACCGTCCGCCCTTTGCTGGGACCGCGCCTCTAAGACCCCGCCCTGGCCCAACCCATCTAGGTCTCAATCAGGTAGCACCCAAGCCCCAGCCCAAGCAGCTGGAGACCCGCAGGGCCGCGAAGTCAGGCCCCCCCAAGCCTCCTAGGACTGCCACGCCTGGGCCAGCTCCCCGAAGTCCCGTCTGGTCCCTACTTGGTCCCACCCACCGGGATTCCGTTTCGTTCCCGCCCATGCCCCACCCAGGCCGGCCCGGTTCCCATCCCTGGGCCCCCACAGGCCCTGCCCGCCCGCTGCCCAAATCCCGCCTAGCCGGCTGAGGCCCCACCCAACCCACCTAGTCCATTCAGACCCCGCCCACCACCCAGGTCCCGCCCCAACCCTTCTAAATCCCACCTAGACCTTACCTAGGGCCGCCTGGGTGCCTCCCCAGTCCCAGCCCGGGCCCTACGTAGGTCCCGCCCAGACCCGCCCTGTCCAGTGCAAGCCCACCTGGGTGGGTCCACCCCATCCCGCCCAATCCCACTCAAGCTCTGCCCAGTCCCACCCAGCTCCCCCGACACCGCCCAGACACATCCGAGCTCAGTCCAAGCCCGGTCCAGGCCTGTCCCGTCCCACCCAAGCCCTGCCCGGGTGCCCCCAGCCCCCCACCCCGCCCCTGCCATCGAGTCGATTCCGGCTTATGGCGACCTGCTCTGGTCTTCCTGGGCCGCCCTGGCCCGCCCACCGCGGGATCACGTGGGCGCGCGACCCGGAGGCGGAACCGCGGGCGTGGTGTAGACCCGGCAGCTCCGGTGTGCCCGCGGGCCCGTGTGCCCGCGGAGTGCGCCCCGCGCCCCGCCATGCGCCCCCCGGGCCCTCCTGCCGCGCGGCTCGCGCTGCTGGCCGCGTTGCTGGCCGCGCCCCCAGCGGCCGTCGGGGAGGACCCGCTCCTGGTGCGCGTGGACGCGGCCCGCACGCTGCGCCCCCTGCGGGCCTTCTGGAGAAGTACAGGCTTCTGGTGAGCTGGGAAACCGAGGCGGGAACGCGCATCCTTCTGGCCATCTCCCTGCCTCGCGCACTAGGGAGGCTGGGAGCACCCTGTTCCCCAGCCTTGTCACCTTCAGAGAGTCACTTAGGGCTTGCTCCCGAGACAACTGCGCCACCAGCTCACAGTCGGGACCCAAAAAGCGGGTGCCCAGAAGTCATCTTGCCCACGGAGCCCCTTCTCTCTCTCCTAGGGGTACACCCCTAGCCCTATAACTCCGAGCACGACGTTTTTATAACATATATATACATATATACACACACACATACACACACACATCTATATATATACATACACATATATACACATATATATATATATATATATATATATATATATATAGATATATAGATAACTATGAAAGTAAAGAATAAAAGCAAAAAAAATTTTTTCCCTGAAATAAAAAATTCAGGCATTACAGGGCTAGAGTAGGGGTCTCCTGCCTGGCCCTTGGGGTGTTGGGGCTGGCTGGCACCTGTAGTGGCCTTCAGGAGTTCCCTATGTGCCCACAGGGCCTCCATATGTCCCCAGTCCCCTGTGCCCCCAACTTCTTCCACTGAGCTGGTGGGATAAGGAACCGGTTGGGAAGCAAGTCCTTTCTGAGCCCCGTCCCCCACATAAATGAGCACAGGCCTTGGGGACACACCCAGCACTGAGTGACATTTTATTACCTCAAGCACAGTCAAGTTCCCTCAGTGGATACCCCCCAATCCTGTTTGCAGAGCTGCCCCGGGCTCTGTGGGCACAGATAAATGGATGGGCTGCCCCGATTGACGCTTCCCACTGCTCTTCCTGCCCCCAGCCCCCCTCTGCCGCACGACCAGGCTGACCAGTATGACCTCAGTTGGGACCAGCAACTCAACCTGGCCTACGTGGGTGCTGTCCCTCACGGGGGCATCGAGCAGGTCCGGACCCACTGGCTGCTGGATCTTGTCACGGCCAGGTGGGTGACACTGAATGGCGGGGAGCACTTGGAGGGCAGCTGGCAGAGCCCACTTTACAGAAATGAAGACTGAGGCCAAGAGAGGAGGGGGACTGGTCAGCAGTCTGGCCTGGAAGGGAAGTGGGCTGAGGGGCCTGCTGAGGCTTGTGGTGGACTGGGGTGGGGGGCCAGTGAAGGGCTGGGGGCACTCTGTAGGAGGAGCACAGGATGGATATGCCTTCTGAGGGGTCCTACTGCCTGGGACCGCTCCATTTCCCACCAAAGGGGCACCCTCGCTGGCTGCCATTTTGGGGTTCTGGGGGTCACCCCTGGACCCTGACCGGCTGCTTTCATAGTTGGCCTGGCTTTCCTTAAGAAGCTCAGGGTCAGGCTGATTGTCTGCTGTACCTGGCTCAGTACTGGACCCCAGGTTCTGCGTGGCCATACCCCACATAGTGTGCTTTGTGCTTTGTGGGCTGGGTTGTGGCCGAGGGCGGGGATAAGGCATGCACTGGGCAGTCCCACCTGCCCTGGAGCAAGTAGAGGCACCATTGGCCCAGGCCTAAGGAGCACTTGGGTGTGTGTGATGGAGAGGAGGGGTCCGGGAAATGAAGAGACCCTGACATCCTGGCCAGTGTCCTCTCACCCCAGCGGGAGTCAGGCTGAGGCAGTGGGGTGTCCTTAGAGCACCATGGGGGGCACGTGATGTTCAGAGCGATATGCAAAATGAGGGAGCCCCTGATTGGTTGGGGGAGCAAGTGCGTTAACTTGCTGCAAGCAGAGAGGCTGTGAATCACCTAGAGGCGTCTTCGAAGAAAGATCTAGCAGTCTGCTTCTAATAAGCACTGACATGCGTCCACTAATACTCTCTCGAGGTGGTCAGGAGGGGTATACACTCGATGGCTTTGGGTTTCCAAAAACTGAACCACTGCCATCAGGTGGATTCCGCCTCATTGCCACCGCAGAGGACAGGGCACAACTGTGGGTTTCAGAGGGTTTGTTCATCTTTGCCCACGGAGCCGCTGGTGGTTTGGAACCTCGTGGTTACCAGCTGAGTGCGTGACTCACAGCGTCACCAGGGCGCTTGGATTAGTTGGAGCAGGGCCCCTCGTTCAAACATGAGTCGGACTTCTAAGACTGGGGGACTTGGGACTAGAGCCCAGGTCTGCAGCTGTGGCAACGTTTGTGTGGAAGGCAGTCTTGGTTGGGTCCTCGCTCGTGCGCACGTGTGTGTTGAACGTGTCACTGGTCCCTATTCCAGGTCAGAATGGGGACAGGGGACGTGGCACCGGAGGTATCTGGTGGCTGACTACAGCCAGGCACTGCTCCCTGGGCAGGGAAGGTATGCAGCCATGGATTGAGGATGTCTGCCGTGGGCTCCAGGATCCTACGTGGTATAGTGGTTACGTGTTGAACTGCTAGTCACCAGGTCAGCGGTTCAAAACCACCAGCCGCTCTGCGCTCTGCGGGAGAAAGAGGAGGCTTTCTACTGCTGTGAAGAGTAACGGCTTCAGAAGCCCACAGGTGATGGTCTGCCCGGTCGCTTAGGCTCCCAGTGAGCCGGCATCAGCTAACCCCACGGCGTCCACGGTGCTGTAGCGTTTGGAGTTTGCCCGGGGCCTGCGGGTGTGGACCCGCTAGAGGACTGAGTCGGCGGCCTCCAACTCCAGCTGCCTGTGGCGGGCCCGCGCCGCCTGCACGGCGCTGTGCACGCTGTGGAACAGCTGCGTCTCCTCGTCCTCTTGGAGGAAGCCCCCTCGGCTCAACACGCCCCTCACCGCGGGGCTGCAGCCGGCCAGCAGCAGCACAATGGCCAGGGCTTCGTAGTCCCGGCGCAGGCCTTGCAGCGTGGCCAGGCCGGCCACGTCCAGGAACAGCAGCGGGGCGCAGTCGATGACCACCGTGTGGAAGCCGGCCGCCGAGGGCACCAGCGCGGACGCGGTGCCCGCTGTCCCGGGGGCCTGGCCACTGCCCGCTTCCAGGCCCCGCCTCCTGGCCGCTGCGCATCCCGCGTCCAGCCCCGTGAGGGTATAGAGTGACCGCAGGAAGAAGTCCTTGTTGGCGTAGTAGAGCGGCCCCGCGAAACGGACCACGCGCACGCCTGGCTCGGACACGAGCCCCTCGAACTCCGAGATGTCCTCGTAAAAGGCGGAGCCGTGGACGCGTGCGAGCAGGGCGGTGTGGGGGTGCCGCGTGCGGCCGGCCAGGCTGAGCAGTGAGAGCACCACGCCAGCCAGCAGCCCGGCCTCCACGCTGACCAGCACGCAGGTGGCCGCCGTGGCCACCCAGACGAGCGCGTCGGCCCGGCTGAGCCTCCACAGGCGCGGGAGGTCGCCCACCTTGCGCAGGGCCCCCCGCAGGCTGGCGACGATGACGCAGGCCAGGACGCACCTCTGCAGGTCCCGGAAGAGCGGGGCCAGCGCCAGCAGCACCAGCAGCACCACGGCGGCACTGACTACGCTGGACAGCTGCGTGCGGCAGCCCGTAGCCGTCTTCACCAGGCTCTTGGCCAGCGCGGCGCTGGTGGCGAAGCAGTGGAAGAAGGAACCTACCAGGTTGCAGCTGCCCACGGCCAGAAGCTCCTGGTTGGCCCACACGGAGTAGCCGTGGTTCCGGGCGAACATCTCCGCCAGCGAGACGGAGAAGGCGGAGCCTACAAGGGCCAGGGAGACGGCGTCCAGTGCCACGCGCCACATTAGCCCCGGGTCGGGAGCCCTTGGAGCCTGAAAGCCGGTGGGAATGTCTCCGGCCACGCTGGAGCCGAATCGCTGGTGAAACCGCCCGAAGTGAGACGCCAGCGTGGCCGCCACAATGACCAGCAGCTCCGTGGGCAGGGGCACCTTCAGGCGGTGCCGGTATCGGTCGGAGAGCTCCCTGGCGGCCAGCAGCACAGCCAGGCACACGGCGCTGGTGACCACGTCGCACACATTGGCTTGGCCAGCGTGGCGCAGCAGGCTCAGCCAGGTGCTCAGCACCATCCCAGGGCCCCGGTGCCGAGGTACCCGCACGCCCAGCAGGTGCTTGAGCTGCGAGGTCAGGATGGTCAGCGAGGCCCCCATCGCGAAGCCATCGAGCAGAGGTGGCGAGAGGTAGGCAGACATGAAACCCAATCGAAGGACGCCCATGAGGACCTGTGGACAGGGCCGCGGGTCAGCACAGGACCCGCCCTCCCCACTGGACACACCCTGCACACCCTGGGGCCCACAGGCCACCCCTTGGGCCTGTGTCTGTTGGGCAGATGCCCTCTCCCCCTCCCTGCTCAGATGGGACCTCTGGGCTCCGGGCAGTTGCTGTCAAGTTGATCCCGGCCCCTAGCGACCCTCTGGGACAGAGTAGAACTGCCTGATGGGGTTTCAAAAGCTACCATCTGTACTGGACAAGACCCCCACACCTCTGGCTTGTAGACTCGAACCGATGACCTTTGGGTTGGCAGCCATGTACTTAACCACTACGCCACCAGGGCTCCTTGGGGATCCCTTGGTATCACTTGTGCTGGCAGCTAGAGATGGGGGAGTGGGAGGTGGCAGGCCCAGGCCACATGAAGGCACCGGTGTGGGGGCTACAGGCCAGACAGCAAGCGTGGACCGTAGTTGGTCACGTCAGGAACTGGAGGACACACCTGGCCATTTGGCCCTGCCCAGGCAGTGCTAGCTAGAGCTGGGCTCCCCATGTCCAGGAATCTAATGGCTGACCCTGGGACACCCTGCAGGTCCCACCCTACCTGGGCCCACGCTGATCTCCCCTAAGTGTTCAAACACCACCTTGCTTTAGAATCCCGGCCATAAGGCTGGTGCCCAGCCACGCTGATCCGGCTGGACACTACTCCCTCCTGGGCTTGGTGTACCCCTGGGGTATCCCCCCCGGCCCCCACCTCAGGGCAACTCTCACCTGGTAAATCCCAGTCATGAGCGTGAGGGCAGTGGCAATGCGGATGGCGTAGCAGTCCCGCCCGCAGTCCGGCCCGAGGGTTAGCTGGGTGGCCGAGGCGTTGAGGATGCTGTCGTTGGTCCCCGGGGGTGAGCCATCATCGTGGGCAGGGTCGAGGCCAGCCAGTTGGAGCTCTCGGTCTACCACCTGACCCACCATGAGGCAGAGCAAGCTGAAGATGCCCACGGACACGTGGCGGGAGGTGCCCAGGAGGAAGTAGATGAGGTTGGCGAAGAAGGACGTATAGAGGCTGTAGAGGGGCTGCAGGCCGGCCAGCAGTGAGTAGGCGATGGCCTGTGGCACCAGGATGATGCCGATGACCAAGCCAGACATGACGTCGCCCGCCAGGTCCTCCCTTGGGCGGTACTGGGGCAGCCAGCGCACAGCAGGCACCAGGTCCTGCACCAGCGCCCAGGCCCGTTGCCTGTGACATGCACAGCTCTGCCTCAGCCGGCCCTTTAGCTGCTCACGAAAGCTCGGGGGCACAGGGGGCCGTCTGCGCACCAGCCCTGGCGCCCCGTCCTGCCGCCCACACTGGGGACAGGCGTCCATCCCTGCAGTGCCCAGCCTCGTGGTGCCCGGCCCCCCCAGAGCCAACCTGCAACAGAGAAGTTCCGTCAGGGCGGGCCCAAGCCAAAGAGGGTGAAGTCCCAGACAGACAGCTGGGACAGACATTGTCCGAGCATCCCAGGGCAGAGGTGCCCTGCTCCTGGAACACTGGGCACTGGGCCCCCTTGGATCTTGGCAGTGAGAGCCATAGGCCTGCTGCCCAGTGTGGACAACGCTTCGCCACCCACCCCGTGCCTGCTGACCCTGACCCAGAGCCCCCAGTGCTGAAATGCCCCAACCACTGGGGCCCAGAGCACAGCAGACAATACCCCCTGGGCCAGAGCCCTTAGCATGGATATGCTCAACCCATTGGGCCCCAGTATGGACCCACCCCCCCCACTCCTGGCCTAGGGCTCCAGCATGGATGACATCAGGCCTCCACCCACGATTCTCAGTCTTTGGGGTGAAACATGATTGTGACATCAGCGTGTGCCCCAGAGCATGCCTAGGCCGCATAGCAGAGGAGCGGCCTCAGAAGATACCCTGCCTAAGCTCTCTGGCCCCCTCTCCCTTAATCAATGTCGCAGCACCTGCCTGGTGCGCCTTGTAGTGAGTCCGGCAGGGAGGTGCTTGGCCTCTGACATATAGGCTGCCCACTGGAACCTGCCCTGGGGAAGGTATGGCAGTTGACTTCGTAAAGCTGGAGAGCCATGGAGACTCTCCAGACAGCTCTCCCCTGCTCTGAAGGGTCGCTGTCAGCCGGAAGAGGCACGTCAGCCAGTGTAGTGGGGGGGAGGGGTCTGAGAGAGGGTGGGCAGGTACCAGGCTGCGACCGTCCCTGTGTGCAGGCGATGAGACAAGTGTGACCACAACCAGGCTTCCTGCCCCTCCCGAGTTCAGCTCCCCAGCTCGGCGAAGACCCCTGCCCTCCCCTGACACCCATCCAGCCCTCTCTCCCATCCAACCTGTGAGCATTCCCCAGCCTCACGGCTCCTGTCTCTCACCTCTGCCATCGCACGCCTTTTCACGGGGAACAGGACTCAGAGGACAAGGGTTTGCTGACCCCAAGGGCGTGCCACCCGCCCTGCCTTGGGCAGGAGTGACCGGAGGTTGAGGCGGGGTGCGGGCACTGTGGCCTTTCTCCTGGGACACCCTCTTGGGAGGGGAAGGACATTCGAGAGCCTGTCCCAACCTGCAGGGCCCACTTATTGAATGTCCCACGCGTGCATGGGCCAGACTGGGCCTTGCCTTCTGCAAACAGCCGGCCCTGGCGTCCCCCAGCAGGGGATGTCTTCTGACCTCGTCCTGGCTCCAGTGTAGCATGCCGGGCAGCGTCATAGAGGCGGCGTTCAGGCACAAAACACCGCCGTCTGTTTGCTCAGCTCCTCCGCTGCCCGGCCGCCCAGAACTGCAACTTGTAGAAACTGCCTCCAGGGTGCCATGAAACAGACACTGCCTCCTGACAGAGTGCCCTGACCACAGGGCTGGGTGTGCTGGGCACTTAGAGGGGCCCCTAGGCAGCGGCCCCTGGGAGGGGGGGGCTGGTCCAGACCTGGGGGCAGCAGGGTTGTCTAACATGCTGAATCCTCACCCTTTTGGGGAACTTCCTGAAGGTCTCCCCCACTTGGGGGTCTGTAGCCCCTCAAATTGCACCCTGAACTCCTGGAGGTTGGGCTCTGGAATGAGGTGGCTCAGGGCCTACCGACCTTCTACCAGAGGGGCCCCCAAATTCCAACTCCCCCCTCAGACTTCTGGCCCAGGAATTGGGAGCATGTGCCATTCATAACGCCCTGTTCAAAGTTGTCCCCCTTGTTCAAAGACATCCTCAAGCTCTCTGGCCACCTGTCCTGCCCAGTCAGCTGGCCTCTGCGAGGGGGACAGACCCTGGCAGGCACCCCAGATGGTTCTTACCTGAGGGAGCTGCCCGAGGGCTGGACAGCGGGGGCCCCGTCCATGCGTGGACCGAAGGCTGTGCCTGCCAGCTGACCCCCCCAGGGCCCTTCGACTTGTGGGGGCCGGCGGCAGCCACGCCTGCAGTCAGGACTGGCTGCCCGGAGCCCAGTGGTTGAATTATTTACTCTCCCAGGTGCTGAGTCACTTGCTCTGCAGACAAGCGTTACCTGAGCACTAATCTTGGGAGTTGTCATGTAATCAGAGGCTTCGGTAATTACAATGCTTCGAACCCCTGATAAGCCCCTTGCTGCCAGGTGCAGGCACCTGTGGCTGCTGCCCTGCAGGCTGGGATGGGCATGTGGGCAGAAGCAGGACCCTTGGGTGTTTAGGCTCCTCTGGGGAGGAGGCAGAAGGTAGACCAGTCTGAGGCCGATGACGGCTGATGTGATTTGTCTCTGGGCCAAGAGCACTGGGACCCTAGGCCCTGCGTGTGTGGGTGTGTGGGGTAGGGGTTGGGGGGTGTCCCAGTGCTCTTGGCCCAGAGATGAATCACACCAGCCGTCATCGGCCTCAGACTGGTGCTCAGGGACTTATCTCAGGCAGCCTCTCCCCACACCTCCGAGCCCACCTGTTCGGGTCACAGAGCTGGACCCTGCCTGGGACCTCTGTTCTCTGTCCTCGGGGCTGTGAATGTACCTGTGCCCAGAGTCCAGCTGGCACAGCCTCCCTTGGCCAGGGGGCTGCGAGGTCACCAGATGATGTCACCAGCCTGGTGTAGCCTTCCTACTGTTGGGGAAGACCCTTCCCTGAGCCTCTTCTGACAGCACAGGGGACTGGCGGCGGTGTGAAGATGAATAAAACGCAAAGTAGACTCAGGAGCCCTGGTGGCATCGTGGCTACCCATCGGGCTGCTAACCGTAAGGTCAGCAGTTTGAAACCACCAGCCGCTCCTTGTGGGAAAGACAGGGCTTTCTACTCCCATCAACGTTACGGTTTTGGAGACCCACGGAGGCAGTTCTACCCTGTTCCCTAGGGTTGCCGTGAGTCAGCAGCGATGAGGACAGTGTGAGTGGCCTCCAGAGGTTCAGGACTGCAGTGCCAGGGGCGAGCAGGCCCGTGCCGTCACTGGGCTCAGCTGCTCCCTCCAAGGCCATCTGTTCACATCTGCTCAGAGGCACCTTGGAAGAAAGGTGTGGTGACCTGCTCAAAATAGCCTGGCAGCCGTGCGGAGCACAGCTCTGCCACAGCACACAGGTCACCGGGAATGGTGAGTCAATCCTACGGCAACTGGTTTGAAACCCCCAGTCGCTCTCCTAGAGAAAGACAGGGCTCTCTGCTCCCGTGAAGAGTTTGTCTCCAACACTGCCCACAGGGGCAGTTCCACCCTGTCCTGTAGGGTCGCCGTGAGTCAGTGAGGGGCTTACTGAGGAGGCCTGGTCACACTGTGGGTTAAGCACTGGCCTGTGAAGGAGGGTTCTGAAGCTCAAATCCCGCTAGCCGCTCCTCGTGAGAAAGGCCAAGCTCACGGCTGCAGTGACCCCAGCAGGCAGCCCAAGCCGACCTAGCAGGGCCACTCTGAGTTGGGACCCTCACGGCGGGCAGCGGTGGTTTGGTTTGGTTTGGTTTTCCTGCTAAAGAATAGCTGCGATTTCTAAAGCCTATGGTTCACACCCATCCCTGGAGAAGGACACCACGCTTGGTAGAGTAAAGGGGCAGCGAAAAAGAGGCCGGCCCTCGACAAGACGGATGGACGTTGCAGCTGCCCCCAGGGGCTCAGACATAAGAATGATGGTGCGGACTCAAGGGCTGGGAGGCATTTCATGCTGTTGTACAATGGGTCGGTGTGAGCTGGCACGAACTTGCCGGCGTCCGGCAACTACATCATCTTCGGAACCTCAGCGCTCCCCCCCACCCCCCAACCATCTTTAGAAAGAAGGAATGCATGTGGTCAGGCCTATGCCACTGGGTGCAGGGAGTGGGCGATGGTGCCAACAGCTGGTGTGGTGTGAGGGACGAGACCCAGGATGCCCTCCCTGTCCATCCCTAAGCCAAGCCAAGTCTGGGCAGCAGGTGGACAGGGTCCTGTGGATAGACTGAGTCAGGCCTGGGGACAGTAGGCCATTAATAACTGTGTCCCCTCCGAGAACTGGTAGAATGACGGTTGAGGGGCCTATGGAGTCGGCGAGGGTCCCGGGGCTCTGCACAGACAACAGGGGACAGCCCTCACCCTGGGGCCCTGCGCCCCCTGTCCCCCACCACCCCCTGCATTGAGCCCTGGTGGGTGGAGCTGTCAGTCCCGTGAGCAGCAGTTGAAAGTTGTGGTTTCTGAAGCCGTTTGCTAGTGGGTGAGTCACCCAGTTCAGAATCTCAGGCAGATAAGGGGCACTTAGGCCATAAAACATTTTATCTCCTAGCCCAGCTACTGTGGAGGGCAGGGGGCAGTGCCAGGGACTGCCAGGGCCTCACTGCTCTTCCCCAGGCAGGTACTGTCCTCTCTGGAAGGAGGGCTTCCCCCCCACCCAAAGCTGTGCAGTGGTGTAGAGGGGGCTGGTCACCTGTGGGGAGAGGTGCCCCATCTCTGGAACTAGGGTCCCCAGGTTTGACCCACAGAGAGTGGGGGAGGGTTCAAGAGGGTCTGGCTGGGGCTTTAGTAGGTGGGTAGGTTATTTCAGAGTACAGATCTCAGCCCACACTGTGGGTGCCAGGGCACCTATAATGCCCCCACCTTGATTACCCTCAGTGTCAAGGGTGGGATCTTATCCTCTCTGCTCACCTTCCTCCCTGGGTGTCTAAGACCAGTGAGCAAGTGGGGTTAGGTCGACACTGGCCTTGTGAGAGAATCATAGGACCCCGGAGCCTCAGGGTTCCTGAGCTATAGTGGGCCCCTGACTCAGTTTCCCTGCCAGTAGCTAGAACCCACTGCCCTGGTACACAGGCTGAGTGTCTGGGGGGCCTGAGGGCCTGATGGCTGGAGGAGACCGGGTCACCACATTCACTTTGCCCCATCCAGCCTGCACTCAGTCTCCTCTCCTGTGGGGCTGACAGCAAGGGGACCGTCGGGACTCCCCCTCACCAAGCCCCATGTGCTGGCTACCCAGTGGTGCCTGAGTGATGAGCCTTACTTTGTTGGTGGCATTCATTTGGAAAGGAAACATTGCCCCTATCCTCAGTGAAAAGAGACACCCCTCCCTCCCTGGCCCCAGTTTCTCCAGAATGACTTGCTGCTCTTTGGATGGGGACCGGTTTTCAGAAGAGGAGACTGGGGTTCCCAGAGGCCCAGGAGCTTGTGGGGCTAAAGATTCACCCAAGGGGTGGATCTGTGTCTGAATGTCAGCCCCTCCCCAGCACGTGCCTGCGCCGCCCCCTGCCCATCAGGCCTTACCCCAGGGCAGCATGCTCGCTCCGGCCCCTTCCTCCCAGCACATGGGACCCGGAGCAAGCCCACCCCGTCGCACGCTGTAGTGCCTTCCCTGCGCACCCATGCTGGGACGCGGCCCCCCCATGCACACAGCCCTCTGGCACACGCAGCACCGGCTCTCCCTCCCCGTGCACATGCGCTCCTCCACCATCTTGCGCCCCCACCGCGAGCACGCACGCCCCTGGCCCCTGCCTGCCTCACGCCCACCACTCACCCAGCTGAGCACCGAGTCGC